CCATTCGGTTTTTAAATCGGGTGCAACCGCAACAAACAAAACAAAAACATGAACAAGAAAACATCTTAAAGTGACTATGCGCAAACAGAAAAATCCAGGAACCTAATCAGAATACATCTGTCAACATCAACATTTGTTCGCGCAGTTTGACGATCCACGGTCACCCTCTCCCTGTAGCCATGCACAGCCTCGTCACCTGATGCACCGAGATTCTCTCAGAGGTCCGCTTAAGATGGAATCCCAAATGTGGCCAAGTCTCAGGGTCACCACCCACACACATGGTTACTCTCAGAGGCGACACGCAAAAAACATTTTGGCGCCTGTGGCCTCTAAAGGCGTGGGTCATCCTCGCTACCTCTTAAGGGTGGGACTTTTTTTGCTCCGGACTGGAGGAACCGGGGTACAGCATTGACATTCGTGAGTTCACGAACCCACACAGCAGATCGTTCACTTGTCGGTACCACCCGAGATGGCATCACGTAGCTGGTTCCCATTCGTTTCTGGGGCCAATAACAGCCAGTTTGATATCAGTGAGTGGGTCATCGCGTGATTCCCTCGTCTTAGCCGTATAAATACATGGGGACGACTAAAGTCTGTGCAACCTTAGTCTCACACCGATGTCTCTTCTGGCCCATGCACGTTGATCACTTCTCTCTGGCTCGTGAAGATCAATCCGAGTCGAATCGGCGATGATGCGAGACGAAAATCGAATCCCCTTCATGTGGCGGTGATTTGGCCAACGAGGCTCGAGTGTGATTCATCATCTTACCTTTCACGCTTCGTCATCCAAAGAAGCCTCTCCACGTGGGCGACATCGGCTGGAGTTGACAATCCTCAACTCGCGGATTGCAGAGGGTTCCACTCATTCGTACGAATGCAGCTCTTGCAGAGGACCGCAAAGTAGTTCACTAGGAACCGTTGATGGTTTTTGTTGCATGATGCGCAGAGGATGAGTTTTCTTTTTTTTTTGTACACGTGTCCGTGTATTGTTTGAAACGTATGCTTGACTGCACGGCCTGTACTATTTTATTTTATCTTACGATGGTGTTTTTTTGTCATTTAACACGGATTGGATCATTTGTTAAATGTTGACACGATAAATGTTGACGTCACCGCAGTGCAGGCACAAATCTCAGAGAACAAAACAACGAAAACCTCGAAATACGGCGGCACGGAGAGAGAGGAGGGACAGGGCCGGGTCGTATCGTGGTCACTGATGTTGGCCGTGAGCAGGAGTTAAAAACTAAACAATTTTTTTTATTTTACTACATAAGGCGCACTGAACTATATAGCGATTTTTCAGAAGCGACCTGGCCACATATGATAGCTCATTGAAGTGGCTTATCACGTGGAAATGTACATCTGCCAAATATTTCTAAATGTGGAGAGAAAAACCGGAGGACACGGAGGAAAATCCACGCGACCACGGGGAGAGAGACTCTACATACTCCAAATATACAGGCGTCAGAGTCGGGATCGAACCCATAACCTCCTGTATACCAGGCGAGGTAGTTAACATCTCCTAGCCACCGTGATTGAGTGACCCGGTGTGTATATGTGTGTGTGTATTGGTGATGGTGTTGTATGGAAGCGAGCGAAGATATTGAGTGGTATCGAGTGGTATTTAGTGATATTTGTCTGGTATTACCTCTGTTTATTTGTTCAGGAAGTCCTGCCCTGCCACGGGACATCGGCATATGAAGTGAAAATAATTACAGCGGTGGTGGTTGTGGTAGCGGCAATAGGTGCTCTCTAACAGCACTTGCCCCAACAGTCTGTTAGAGGCTACACGGGAGATCTTTGTCTTGGGTGGCGATGGCAGTGGTAATGATGATGGTGTTGGTTTTTATGGTGATGATTAAAATTATGATGGCGAAAGGGATGATGGTGAAGATTATAGTGACGGAAGTGGTGGTGATGGTGTTGATGGTTAAATTGGTGGTGGTGATGTTGGTGGTGGATATTGTAGTAGTTGAGTGATGATGAAGGTGGTGTTGGATATGCTGCTGTTATTCATGAAGATGCTGTTGCAGATCCTGCTGCTGATAATAATGGTGGTAATGGTGATGATAGTATTGCTGTTGATAATGATTCTGATGATGCTGCTGCTGCTTATGATGAAGGTGTCAACGGTGAAGATGATGATGGAATTGGAGTTGCTGTTGCTGATTAAGATGATGCCGATGTTGGAGATAATAATGACGACAACAATGATGACGCTGATGATGATGATGGTGGTGTTGAGAAATGCTGCTGTAGCTGACGATGATAATGTTGTTGGTGGTGGTGATGATAATGACGGTGATGTCGGTGGTGATGTTGATGATGGTGGTGGTGGCGGTGATGGTGGTGGTGGCGGTGATGATGGTGGTGGTGGTGATGTTGATGATGGTGGTGGTGGCGGTGATGATGGTGGTGGTGGTGATGTTGATGATGGTGGTGGCGGTGATGATGGTGGTGATGGAGATGACGCGTGTCTCGCACCACTCGCCGTGACATTTCTCGTGTTCCGCGCCTCGCGCGTGGAGTTGTTTGGTCAGCTCCGGTTGGACTTTCTCTCTCTAATGGCTTTTATCAAAGGCCACGCACAGATCCAGATGCCTCACTCCACATCGATTAGGGGAGTGGGGGCTACCCCCCCCCCATACCCCTCTCCCACTTCGTCCAACCTCACCTACATGGATTATGATTATTGACGTCAGAGGTCACATATGCACCAAATAAGACAAAGACAAATATCCCCTCTCTCTCAGCCATTAACCCCGAACAGGGTCCTATTAGTCAGCTCCTACGAAGGCTGTAGCAGCACACGAGGGGGTGAGTGGTCAACACCACGCCCGGACGCCTTTGTCTCCCTCGTGGCGATGTTTACACCCTGCACCAGGTACTCATTTGAGGCTGTGCTGCCCTAGGGGAGGCCCAGGACCGGTTCAAATAATTGTCACTGGTGTTGGCAGTGAGCGGCCAACACCATTCGAACTCGGTTCGTAGCAGAGCGCGCTAACTCCGACTCTATCGCTACCCCACATATGCACCAGACACACACACACACTAATGTACACAAAAGTACATAAGACAAAGATCCCCCGTGTAGCCGACTCAGCCTGTTGGGGCAAGCGCTGTTAACGAGGACCTATGTTTGAGTGTGTGCGTATGTGCGTCTTATGTCAGCTGTCTGTCAATCCACTGCTGGATGAAGGCATCCCCACGGCGTCAGTCAAGGGGATTGTTTGACAATACTTAACTACGCTGGTCAGTGTGGGTTTGTGAAGGGGTGGCCAAGACTGGTCAAGATATCGCTTGCCAATCATCTTTGCCGTGGCTGGGATTTAGCGTTGACACCACTGCCAACGCAGCAGTAATACCAACTCACTTGCATACGTAATAGTCTCGTTTAAGGATAAACGGGTAAGTCAGGAACCGTTTTCAGAATGGAATACCGGTTCCAAAAGCCAGGAACCTGTGCAATGTTAGCAGTTAACAGTAATGTCTCGTTGCAAAGTGCCACGTTTAGCGAGAAACGCGTTAAGCAAAAACGATTTCCCCATACATAAAGTAACGATAAAGTTTGGCGAGATGCGATGTACTATGCACACACAGTGAGACAAATAACTGAGGGTATGCCGCCGCGTTACTGTATCATTACGGCTCAGCCGTGCAGCTCAAGAAAGTAGTTCGTCGTCGGTTACTGCTTTGAACCCGCGTTATAACGAGGCGCAGACCGCGTTATATAACGGTCGTGTTCCACTTTGCGCTTAAAGTGTCCCCAAATGGAAGATCCACGTTATAGTGAAAGCGCGTTGTGTGAACACGCGTTAAGCGAGGACCCTGCGACCTCTGCATTTTTAGAGCCAGTGTGCTAACAAATCCACAACTTTGCCAGCTTCTTATTTAATCAGTGAAAATAACAAAACTGTTATGTTTATTACTAGACGTTGCTGTATGTTGCATGCGGCAAACCGGTAACCATTTGTATACAGTTTTTTTTAAAATCTCCATGTAGTTACTGGTGATGCATAAACAACTATTCTAACCACCCCAGTATAGACACACACACACATGCAAACTCGTATGTACACACGTATCGTGTCGTTGTCTAAGAGAAACAGACTACCCGCTTTTTATCGGCTTTAGCGTCTTACTGTTCCAGGCAGTCTCCGAAGAGTGGAGCTCCCTATCGCAAGTCTGGTGTCTTATGTAAATGTACTATTGAAACCCCGTCCAAACATCCACACACCATCTCTCGTACACCAAGCTTCAATAAAATATTGCACTCCCACTAAAATGTTGACGGTGGAAAGAAAAATCTAGATTTAAATACTCTTCACCTAGAGATTTGAAATCTAAAACGTGAAAAATAGCCCCTCAGGTTTTGGAGGTCCCAAAATCGAACATTTATACTTTTATATGCAGTATTATTTTGTCTACGTATACGACACACTCGACTACATGTGTGCCTACATTTCTAGCTATTCTAGAACGTTATCAAAATAAACATCCTCACTTAAAATGAGGCCATGTGTATACAATGCATGTTAGGTTCAAGACAAAGATCCCCCGTGTAGGCTTAACAGACTGTTGGGGCAAGTGCTGTTAGCGGGTAGCGCCTTTGAAGGCCGGCACACGAGGGGGAGTGGGTGACCAGCACCACACACGGCCGCCTTTGTCTCCCGCGATGTTTACACACCGCACCAGGTACTCATTTGAGGCTGAGTCGACTTAGGGGAGACCCAGGACCGGTTCAGATAATCGTCACCGGTGTTGGCCGTAAGCGGGAATCGAACTGGAATTGACAGGTTCATAGCGCAGCGCGCTAACCGCTACACCACCGCTCCCCACACTCCCCATACGCACACACACACACGCGTATGCAGGCACACACACAGACACGCACACACACACACAGACACGCACACACACTCACAGACACGCTCGCTCCGCCTCCCTTCGCCTATAAAAGTTGCACGCTTCTCCCCGTCTCTCGCATTCTGCAAGACTCATCATCCCTGTGTCTCCCCGAGTCTGTCTCTCTGTCTCTCCAATCCCCCCCACCTCCCATCACCACGGTCGCCACTCTCCTCTCTACAGGGTCAAATAGGTGTCTGCGCTGTGTGCACCTGTGTGTGTGCACCTGTGTGTGTGTGTGCACGCCCATGTGTATGAGTCTCCACTAACGGTCACACAGTTGTGTGTGTGCACGCGTACCTGTGCGAGTCAGAGAGAGAGAGAGAGCGAGTTAACGAGACGAACCTTTGTACACAGACACACAAACAGACAATAACACGCACACATACACATACACTCACCTGTGTTCACTCATACACACTCACCCATAAAGTCATCATACGTACTCACATACGTACATTCAAAAACACCGACATAAACTCACACACACACCTCGTGTGCCGTGCCGGCCTTCACAGGTGCTCGCTAACAGCACTTGCCCCAACAGTCTGTTTAGGCTACACGGTGGTGTGGGGGGGGCAACCTTTGTCTGTGTCTACACACACACACGTGTTACCCATGATGCACCGCGCCGCGCACGTGCGTCCTCGCCTTGCGCTCATCGCGCCGCTGCTCTTCGCGCTCCTCGCCTCGCGGTGGGGGGCCGCGGGGGCCACGGGGGGGCCCGGGGCTGGGGGGGGCCCCGCCGCTCTGCTCATGGGGGCGGCCCCCGCCGCTTTCGCCGCGGGAGGGGGGTCCGCCCCCCGCGGCGGCGTGAAGCTTTGCGGACGCGAGTTCATTCGCGCGGTCATCTTCGCCTGCGGGGGGTCTCGGTGGAAGCGAGGCGGTGGTGGGGGGCTCGGAGGTGCCGGGGAGGCGGCGGTAGTCGGTGAGTTGTGGGGGGGGGGGGGGTGAAGCATGTGTACACTCACCCGTGTGTTCATTCACTCACCTCTGTGTTCCATCACCTGTGTGTTCATTCACTCACCCGCGTGTTCATTCACTCACCCGCGTGTTCAATCACTCACCCGTGTTCATTCATTCACCTGTGTGTTCATTCATTCACCCGTGTGTTTCATCACCTGTGTGTTCATTCGCTAACCGGTGTGTTCATTCACTCACCTCTGTATTAATTCGCTCACATGTGTTCCATTCCTCACCTGTGTTCCATTCCTCACCTGTGTTCCATTCGCTCACCTGTGTGCACTGCCTCTCGTGTGTTCACTCACGCGAGTGTTAACTCAGCTGTATGTTCACTCATCTATATATATTCACTCAATCAAGTGTGTCCCCTCACCTGTGTGATCACTCACCCACGTCTTGTCTAACTCACGTGTGTTCACTCACCTGTGTGTGCACCCATTCATCCACCTGTGTGTTCACCTACTCAACTTTGGGTTCACGCACCTCTTTATTCATTCATTCACCTGTTTCGAATTAAAGCTTTCGTGACTGCAGGGATTCATCTTCTTGGTTCTTTCGGTAAAGTCACGTAGAAGGGAAATAATAAAATAATACAAATGAAACATAATAAAATACAATTCTCACGACGTTTCGGTCACAACGCAAGCAGCCGTCCTCAGGTGAAGAACAGGGCTGTCGGAAAGACAGGCAGCGTCTGTCTGAAGCCCTGTCTGAATAACAGGGCTGTCTTTCCGACAGCCCTGTTCTTCACCTGAGGATGGCTGCTTGCGTTGTGGCCGAAACGTCGTGAGAATTGTATTTTGTTATGTTTTATTTTTACTATTTTATAATTTCCATTCTACGTGACTTTACCGAAAGAACCAAGAAGATCATTCACCTGTGCTCACTCACTCATCTCGGTATTCATTCCCTCTACTTGACTTGCATCCCACTGGGATTTTGCACACAGCGTTGGTGTACGGTGCTTTTTCTGCAATATTTTGCTGTCTTTTCTTGGATTTTCTGTTTGCACTCAGTCACATAGTCACTTTAAGATGCTTTTTGTTCGTGTTTTTGTTTTTTGTTTGTTGCGGTTGCACCCGATTCAAGAGCCGAATTGCTCACAGGGCTACACCTAATAAATGAACTTGAACTTGAACTACGACGCGTTAATTCACCCACTTGTGTGTTCACACTCCCTCACGCGTCACTCACCCGCGTGTTCATGCACTCACCCACCTTTGCGTTCACCAATCTGTGTTCACTCACCTCTGTCCATTCACTCATCTGTGCATTAATTCGCTCACCTATGTGAAAAGTCACTTACCTGTGTTCACTCATTCACCTCCTGTGTGTCACTCACTTACAGCGTTGGTGTACGGTGTTTTTTCTGCAATATTTTGCTGTCTTTTCTTGGATTTTCTGTTTGCACATAGTCACTATAAGATGCATTCTTGTTCATGTTTTTGTTTTTTGTTTGTTGCGATTGCACCCGATTCAATAGCCGAATGGCTCACAGGGCTATACCTAATAAATGAACTTGAACTTGAACTGTGCGTCCATTCTCTCATTCACCTCTGTGTTAATACATGCATAGTGCGTTCACTCCTCATCTGTATTCACTCACTCACGTGTGCGTCAATTCACTTTCCTCCTTGTTCACTCACTCACCTGTGCGTTCACTCACATTTTTTCACCAATCATCATTATTACCACCACTACCACCAACCATCAACATCATGATCATCAACCTACACAACGGTCAGTACCTGTTCACCTTCCAATGCAAGAGTGCTCTCTGGTTATAAAACGCAGATTGGTGTTGTACCCCGAACTCAGTCGCGGTGCTGGAGATGTATTCAGCAGTGACAGAGACAGGAGATACAGTAGTTTATTATTCAACCGGATTCAAATCTTGAAGATAACCATCTCGATTCCGCCCGGATCCAGATTCTAAGCAGATAGACACCGCCGACGTGTTGCACTGCCCTTAGCTCTGCACCCAGGGCGCCGTGAGCTCTGCGCCCAGGGCGCCATGAGCTCTGCGCCCAGGGCGCCATGAGCTCTGCGCCCAGGGCACCATGAGCTCTGCGCCCAGGGCGCCATGAGCTCCTCTGAGTTCAGAGCAGTCGCGCATTTTGCCCATGTGAGGCACTGCGCCTGCTCCCCCCTTGAAACCCTTCACCTTACCAAATAACCATTTGCATTAACACCTAACCTCTAACCTTACTTCCCCTATTCCTAACCCTATCTCGAACCCACACCCTTACACCATAACCCCTAATCCTTCCCCTAACCCTACCCCCGACTCTTCCCTTAGATCTGGTCTCTGACCGCGACCCGCTCTTCTCGGAGCCCCACTCTTGGCTGGGCTCACAGTCGCTGGACCCCTGGGAGGGGGCGGCGGCGGGGGGGGCCGAGTCCCCGGTGGGGTTCCTAGGGGGGCTGCTACGAAGTCTGGATCTGGCTCAGGGGTCCCCGGGCGCCCTCGGCGGGGTTGGCGGGGGCAGGCGGAAGAGGGACCTGGCGGGTGGCCTCTCCAGCGTCTGCTGCAAGTGGGGGTGCACGCGGGGCGAGATCAACGCCCTCTGCTGACCCCGTGACCCCACGACCCCGTCAACCCAATCACCCGGCGACCCGACGACCCGACGATGCGAAGACGCGGCCACCTCAAGCAACGAGGACCCACAAACCTTCAGGCCCCAGTGACCTGACGACCTTTTGACCCGATGACACGAGAGACTCGGTGACCAAACGACACAAGCCGGGAACACCACGACCCCGACGACGCTGCGATACGAAGATGGGAGCCACCTCCAGATTCAAGGACCCGCAAACCTTTAGGATGGACGAACCACGAGCTGATGACACGAGATCCGGTGACCGATTGACCCAGAGGCATCTCGACCCGGCGACCTGGCCACGAAAAGACTTCGGCCACCTCGGCATTCAAGGACTCTCAACCCTTGACGTGGAATGACCTGGTGACCTGATGCCCTGGCAAATCATTGACCTCTTGACCTGGAGGCGCCATGACCTGATTCGACTAGCTTAATATTCGAGCACTCGTTAATGTTTAAAATAGGCATGTAACGATCCAATTGATATTCATTGTCCGGTTCGAGAATATATTATTATTTGTATTATGATTATTATTATTACTGTTGTACCGTCTTCTTCGTCTCGTATTGTCTTTTGTTTGTTCTGTATCGTTTGTACAGTCTTGATTGCTCCATTAGCCTAATTGTAACATTGGCATATAATTTGTATATATTGTGCATAGATGGTAAATAACCGATTCTATTACATGCAACGTGACACGTGTATCATCGTGAGCGTGATAATAGCGTGTAATCAATGTGTTACATTCCTAATTTAAATAAATGACCCAGTCACCCAATAGCTTGATTACCTAATAATCAACCAAGGTAATAAAGACCTATTGACCGAATTACCTGGTGACTCCCTCGTAACCCAATGACGTAGATACGTGAAGACTCTCATGACGGAGAGATTCAAGAACGAGACTTGACTCGCAATGATCTGGTGACATGATGACCCGTGACTTAAAAATTTGTGTCAACCGCAGTTGGAGAGAGATAAAGTGTCGCCGTGTCTCCGTGTTCCTGTGTCCCGATGTCCCAGTGTCTGCGCGTCTACGTTTATTTAAGAAAAAGACTTCGATTGAAACCCGTGTCGTGTGTTTTTTTTTGGTTAGATAAACCACAACCTTGGCAACCACCACAACCACCACAATATTCTCAATAAAAACCACGATGATATATGCAGTATATATTTATTGTTACGCTTGTGTACCCACGAAAGCCTCACTGGGTATCGTGTCATTTATTTCAGCAGGGTCTTGTCTAGTTTTCCCAGGAGTGGGCGTACATTGCAATTTGAGTAATTTCTGAGTAATTTTTCTAAGATTTGCAACTTTTTTAAACCTACCATTTCCACAACGACCACCATCACAACATATCAGAATCATAATATGTATTTACACTGGAGGAATCCGATAAGCTATAAAGCTCTTTTTCACATGTTCCATAGGGGCGGGTAAGAAGGTTACAACAACAAACAGTACAGAAACATGATAGTGCAACGTAAAGAAATGTAAACAAATCACCCAAACATACAAATAAAACTAAACCATCTCCATCCTACCAGGCACAGCCCACTGAGGTATTTAATTATTTTTCAGAAGCGACCTGGCCCCAAATGACAGCTCAACAAAGTGTCTTATTTTTTTTATTTAAAGCTTTCGTGACTGCAGGGATTCATATTTTTGGTTCTGTCGGTAAAGTCACTTTATATTCTTGGTTCTTTCGGTAAAAATCACGTAGAAGGGAAATAATAAAATAATATTTATTTTATTTATTTATTTTATTATTGGGACATTTATAGCAGCAAAATAATCCAATCTAAATGCATGTTTTTAAATACATGCATATGTAAAAAAAACCGTGGTCTGGGAATATCCTACAAGATGCGGAAGTTTCGAATCAAATCTCAGAATTGAAATCGCTCAGAACTTCCGCGCACTCAAAAGTCCACCAACCCATCCCAGCACAGACTGCCAAAAAAAGCGACTTGACACGAATCGATCCATACGAGTCGACCGCACGCTAGAATCGCGACTCGTGATTCCGGGCTCCTCCGCCCGCGGGGGTTTTCGATTCCGCGCGTCGACACCACCCGAGAAAATCGAATCGGATCGGGTCCGCGATGATCGTGGTGGCGGTCACGGCGTCTCGGCGCCTCCAGGGGTCGCGGGGGCCGCTCGGGGTGAGGCTCGGGGCGGGAGCCGCCGTCAGAGGAGCCGTGGGAGATTGCGTGAGAGATTGCGTGAGAGGGGCCGTGGGAGATTGTGTGGGGGCCGTGAGTGGAGCCGTGAGTGGAGCCGTGAGATGTTGCGGTGGCGTGAGACGGGTTAGCGGGGTCGGGAGAGAATTCGGGGTGGTGAGCCGAGTGAGAGGATGCGTGAGAGGGGTGAGCGGAGTGAGTGGAGGTGGAGGAGGTGGAGGAGGAGGTGGTGATGGAGTGGAGGAGGCGAGGGGCCAAGGCGTGAGAGTTTGCGGCGGGGCTCGCGTCCTGGCCGGCAGCGTGAGCCCCGCGCTGCGACACGTGTACGAGGCGAACCTGAGACGCAGCCTCTGCATGGAGGACAGGTAGGAGGAGGAGGAGGGGGGTGGACACGCGGACAGACAAACACGTGGAGGACACCGGGTGGGGGGTGGACAGGTCGACTCTGGGAGACGTGCAGAGACAGGCACCCACACACACACACGTGGGGGGGGGGGGGGGAGACACTTGACCCAGATACACATGGCGACTTGGAGAGCAGTGCCAGGGAAACGGGGATTGGGGGAGGAAAGATGCGGGGACATGGTGGACATGGGGCATTGGGTGGACATGGGGAGACACGGGGAGACACGGGGAGAGAGACACGGAGAGAGAGACACGGAGAGACAGACACGGAGAGACAGACACCTGACAGACAGACACCTAACATAGACACGGGGAGAGATACACGGGGAGACAGACACCTGACATAGACACGGGGAGAGAGACACGGATGAGTGGCATGAGTGGAGTTGGCCCACTGGCCCAACTTATATTTGGGAGCTTCACGTCACTCCACCACAACCACGATACGTCGCACACGCGGCGTAACTTAATTATCACTGTTGTGGAAATGAATAAACCAAGTTCAGGTTCATTGCAATAACTCTCCATGGTTTTATTTATTAGAATTGTGAGTTAATTTGTTTCTTTAATTTGTATGAGGATCTTAGTTCAAGTTTGGTGTTTCCCAAATATTTTCATAGGGCCGCCGTGGTGGCGAGATGTTAACTACCTCGCCTGGTATACAGGAGGTCGTGGGTTCGACCCTGACCCCTGCATATTTCTCTCTTCGTAGTCGCGTGGAATTTTCCTCCGGGTCCTCCGGTTTACCCTTCCACTTTTAGAAACGCACGTTTAGAGTATTTGGTTGCTATACATTTCCAAGTGATAAGCCACTTCGTTGAGCTATCATTCGTGGCCAGGTCGCTTCTGAATAAATGAAAATCTTTGTTTTTATCTGGGGCCCCTTCAACTATCTGGGACTCCAAGCTTTTGCTCAGTTTGCTTGGGCCGAGCGGCACTGCTGGAAATAGGGAGACGCGGGGACATGGAGGAGGGGAGAGAAAGACCCCCGTATAGCCGCAACAGAATTTTGGGGAAAGTGCTGTTAGCAAGCAACTATGAAGTCCGGCACGGCACACGAAGAGGGTGGGTGACCAGCACCACGCCAGACCACCTTCAGTCTCCCTAAGTAGCGATGTTTACACACCGCACCAGGTACTCATTTGAGGCTGAGTCGACCTAAGGGAGGCCCAGGACCGGTTCAGATACTCGTCACTGGCGTTGATCTTGAGCGGGAACTAAACCCGGGTCGCCAGTTTCATAGTTCAGGGAAACAATGGGAGACGCTGCGACCCACAGAGTGACACAAAGGGACACTCCACCCTTACTCTCTCTTGCCCCCTGCCTCCCTACTGCCTCCTTTACTGCCTCCCCCCAATCCACCAGGATGCAGGTTGCCCTCTCGCGGGTCCGCACAGCCTCATCCGCCGAGGCCATCGCACGCCACACTCAGCGCAACAAGAAGCTGCTGGCGAGGGACAGGCTCTCGATGCTGCTCGACCCCCCCTGGAGCCCCGGAACCCCGCACACATCCCCACAAGGACCCCTGGGAGCCCTGAGCCTGCAGGGGGATTCTCCCTTTCTGGAATTGAGCCCCATGGCTGGGATGGACCTCCCTGAAGGAGACGTGCCTGGAGCAGGGTGCATAACGGGTGTGCGAGCATGTCTGCGTTTGTGTCTCCACGTTCGTGTATCTTTGTGTGTCTATCAGAATGTGTGTCTGTGTATCTGTTGACGTGTCTCCGTGTATCTCTGTGTATTTATGTGTGTGTGTATTAGTCTGTGTGTGAGTGTATTTATTTATTGGTGTGTGTGTGTGTGCTTTACCCGTGAAATATCTGGACACCTTCCCATAATGAGCTCCACTGGCAGGCAAGGATGCGTTGGCTGGGTCATGTAGTCCCGCATGCCCAGCCACCGCATGTCCAAGGAGTGTCTGTTTGGCCTGATAGAGGGGGCTCGATGGGAACTGTACGGACTAGAGAAGAGATGGACTGACCAATGACTGGTCAGAATGAGGATATTACTACTGGATGAATCCGATGAGCTATAAAGCTCTTTTTCACAGATGTACCAATGGTCTCAAGAATGGGCCACTGTGGAGCAGGCTTGTGAAGGACAACACTGGGCTAGGCGTGGGCCATGACGAGTGTGTGTCCCCGCGTGTCCCCGCGTGTCACCCTGTTGTCCCCGTGTCTCTGCGCTAGGCGTGGGCCATGACAAGCGTGTGTCCCCGCGTGTCACCCTGTTGTCCCCGTGTCTCTGCGCTAGGTGTGGGCCGTGTTGCCGGATCATGGTGCGTCCTCGTGGTGAATGACGCCACTGTGAAGGGCGGCTCCATGTACCCGATCGCCGTCAAGAAGCAGCTGAGGGCCCAGGAGGTGGCGCACATGAATCGGCTGCCGTGTATCTACCTGGTCGACTCGGCTGGGGCCTTCCTGCCTCTACAGGTGAGCACACCTGTGTGTGTGTGTGTGTCTGTATGTTTGAGCTGAGCTGTGTGTGAGTGTGCCTCAACTAAGTATACACTTGTCTGTGTTTATGCACTCCTGCGTGTGTGTGTGTATACACTCCTGTGTGTGCACACACCTGTATAACTGTCCATGCATACCTATGTATGGGTCTCACCTGTGTGTATGTGTGTTCATGCATACCTCTGTGTGTGTGTGTGCAAGCACGTGTGTATAGGTTTATGTACACCTGTGACTGATTTGTAATGTCTGTGGCTATTTTGTGCATATTTACGTGTGTACGAGTGCATGTTTGTAAGGATGTATCCTTGTAGATGTCTGTAGGTGTGTGTATACGTATCTATACGTGTGCCTGTGTGTGTGGCTATATGGGCGATCGTTGCCTCTGTTTCCATTTAGGCAAAAATCTTCCCAGACCGCGAGCACGGAGGCCGCGTGTTTTACAACGAAGCCGTCATGAACGCCGTTGGCATCCCTCAGGTGACCTTTGACCCCTGACCTTAATCCCCAAACCCTAACATCATTTCCCAAACTCCAATCCATCGCACCTCCCACACCCTCCCTCCAAAATCTTGACCTCACTCTGCACACAGCATTGTGGGTCACTCCCCTCATTATGTGCAGCAGGCGTAGGTGGTGGTGTTTTGTGGGTAACTCCATTTATGCTGTGCAGCTTGTGTAGTTGGTGAATTGTGGGTAATCACTATGATACCTTGCAGTCTGTGTGAGTGGTGGTACGTTGTGGGCAACCCTCGTGATGCCGTGCGGCATGTCTGTGGCAGCGGTGGTGCATTATGGGAATTTACCATGATACATTGCCACGTTTGTAGGTGGTGGTTAATTGTGGGTGACTCCCATGATGCCTTGCGGCGTGCGTAGGTGGCGGTGGTGCTGGGGTCATGTACGGCAGGGGGAGCGTACGTGCCCACGATGGCTGGCGAGGCGGTGATGGTGGGGGGTGTGGGAAGTCTGTATCTGGGGGGGCCCCCCCTCGTCCGCGCCGCCACCGGGGAGAGGGTGACCCCCGAGGAGCTGGGGGGGGCGAGGATGCACGCCAGGTGCGCGGTGACACTCATTACAGTGA